CAAACTATGCTTTGAAGTCGGGAGATGTGTCATGACTGGGGTGGAGTTTTCTGTCAATGGCAAGCATTTGATATGGATCATGCCGGCTCAAGCCAAACTCAATGCAGAGTATACTCCTTTCACGAGAGCATTCTTGCATTCACAGCATGCAACCAGCCACTGTTGTGCTGGCTCAGCAGGAAGGTAGGCTTGATTGAACCTTCAAGCGCACGGCGGCGTTCTTCGATTCATGGATCGCATGTGTAAACCAAAAGCCGGCCCTGTGGCTTTGTGAAGCAACAGCCCAAGGGATCACAAGGTCAACCCGCGCCAGGCCACGGATGGGTGACAAGGCGGGAATCAGTGGCCAGCCATTTCAAATCGGGATGTTGTGGGATATCGCGAAGTGACATCGAGTTCTTGCGATTTCGTATTTTGGGCATTGGGCAGCATGAGTTTCGCAAAACAGATTCGGCGTAGTGGTAGAACCTATATACCTCTGTGTGGACCAACGGATGTGCAAAGGAAGTGCACATTGAGCAGCCTTCTCCGGGGGTTGGTATGTCCGGATTTGCAGCCGTTGAGTTCTTTTTGACAAAGTCAAACATGCAATCTTGAGCGTCCCCTCACTTGTTGCCTGAATTTGGGTACGTGGCCTCATGGCATGGGTAAGGGCGAAGCCACTAAGTCCTGTGGATGGCCGCGTTGGCTTTGGCGCTTGTGAGCAGCATGTTGTAAGTGGCTATGGTTGATGCGCCGACCAACACGTCTGCAGGGCCAGTCTTTGGAAAGCCACTGCCAGCAGCTGGAGCCTCTTGGCAGCATGGCACCTCTCACAAGGCTTGTGACATGCAGTCAGAAGCTTTGGCCCCGCGGCCGGAAATGTGGGCGGCGCTTTGTGAGCCATTGTGACTGCTTTGACCACCAGCCTGAGGGACAAACGGCTGGAAAGCTGAAGGAGCGCGCATGCGCGCGCTTGTTGCATGGTCTTGGGTGGGACAGGCGGGAGTTGGAGCGCAACAAGAACAATGTCTTGCACTTCATGGCTCTCATCGAGCGCGGTGTGCCTGGTGCTGAGGGGAATGCTTGCTCAAGGGCTGTCAAAGCAGGGACCTTTCAAAAAGTGGGGCTGGTGATGATCGATCACAAATATGGCCATGGGGCATAAGCTATGGCTCCATTTTGGGGTGGAACATCCATTTGCCACCTATTTTGATGTTCACCAGCCATACTGTGGACGGACAAAATCCTGCACCACTTTGAAACCATGGGAAACCATTGTTTGTTGGTATTTGCAGAGGAATCATCATTCCAGGGTTTCTTAGGCGGTGCAGGATTTCGACCATCCACAGTATCAGTGTTGGGTCGTTGCGGTTTGATGGTGCCGCCTTCAGGAAGGCAACCAGTGCCTCAGGTCCCGGGAGAGTGGTGATGCAGCGGCGCTGCTGAGTGTGCTGCGTCAGAGGCCAGCTGTTTGGCGGAGCTTGGGGAAGTAGGAAGGCCTTCATGCAAAGCTCCGAAAGGGTTCTCGGAGCAAGTCACCCATAGGATTTCGTGGTTGAAGGCTCCGGTTTATGCAGCCAAGGGTGCAACACTGGAGATCTTTCCTTTCGACCTCACCCACGTTTGGGCGCACGCTTTTGCACGACCATGGGGCAACTGGTCTTCAGGCCATAGTGGGCTGACTGCCCAGTTCAACCCGGCTTGGGAAGGACCCTCACAGTTTTCTTGGTAGACCAACATCCAGAGTTTCTCGAAGAAAACTAGCATAAAAGATAGTGCCAGTGAAGAGAAGAGAACGACATGCTAGTTGGACCACGCAAACTCAGTCTATGTAAGATTTCTTTCAGTTTGCGACACCTTTATGAACAGTCCTGAGCCAAACAGCCCGGTTCAGTTAAAATAGAGACTTGAGGATGGCTGGGGTTGGGATCCATTCTCCATAGATCCTAGAGGATGTTTGCTTTAACATTTGAACCATGCACAACTGTTTGCATGTGTCTTTTCCTAACCTCATACGCTTTGATATACCCATTTGGGTACCCGTTGGATTGGGGGCTAGCCTGTCCAAAAGAGAGCGAAAGGAGAAGCGAAGGGACACTTGCGGCGCGGCCCGTGCCAGGTTCCTGGGCTGAGCAATTGCCCGGAATTCGCCTGGCGAGCGGGCTGTTCCCTGAGCTTTGGGACTGTTGCAACCTGTCTCCGTGGTTTTTTCAGGTCGAGCGGGTGTTGCAAGGGTCTTAAACCACTGCGAACGGGATGAGAATGTCAGAACGAAATTGCCGTGAGCGAGTGCAAGCGCGCCTGAGATGGATGCATTGGCCTTGTGTGAGCCACACTGCATAATTCGGAATTCGGAGAAGCTGCTGCCGCATCATCAATGCTTGGGACTGTGTTTTCCCTCTGGTTGCACAAACCAATGCAACTACAATTACAATGCCATTGCCCTGCACTGAATTGATTGTGACGGCAAGCATCTCGGTAGCTCGTTGTTTAGTCTTGCGAGCATCCATCAGAGCATTGTGTCGGAGCTTGACTTTGGTAGAGGTCATTATCATGATCTATGCGATGGAGGCTTTAGACTTCTCATATCCGGCGCTTGGCCGGTGGTGGGTGCTCCTATTCTGCTGCTCGCATTGCGGGGCTTGCAGGAACCAGATAAAAATGGGTCGTTTGGGACGCTGTGTGCAGGTGATCAAACGTGCTGTCTCCAGCAAGGAGTAAAACACCTTTGCACTGTCCAATGAGAAGCTAGGGGGCTTGCAACGCTGAGACCGTGCTGTGTGATTAACCCGTATCATGAGAGCTGTCCTTGGTAGAATTATTGAATTCAGTGTCAGAGTGTGTGTGTGTGTGTGTCTCAGCTAGTCGTGTCAAGTCCAGGTATCTAGTTTCCAAAAGTTGACAGAGATTGTCATCGTTTCTCTGTGAAGACTGTAGTGTATCAGGGAACTGCCCTCAGGACCTGGCTTCATTCGAATTGGTGCTTTGAGAGAGCAGGCCTTCAGAGTCTCATGTGATGCCCGCGAATTGATTGACGCTTTGGTCCAAGCCTGTCAAGAAATCAAGAAGTCAAGTTGCAATGAGTCGCACAGGTGTCATTCTTTGTTTTCTGACCTGGGAAGCTTGACTAAGTTTTGACATGGCCAGTTCTTCCGAGCTTTCGAGGCGGCTGTGCCTCACAATGGTGTCAATACATGTTTCATGTTCTTGCTTCTTTCCCTGGTGCGTTTTAGTCCTACCCCTGGTCAATGGAAGCTCTTTGCCGCCTCTTGTAGAGAAGCGCCCAGGCCTCAAGCGCACACAAAACCAGGTCCTTTTCTTGAGCCGTTCGATCGCCGCGTCCCCGTCCGTCCCAAAGTGGGCGGCCCGCGGCCCGCTCGACGGCCCGCCGGTTTTTTTCGGTCGGATGGCGAAGCTGGAGTCGGGCTCCACCTCGCTGCCCCGGGCCTCCGCGGAGCAGCGCGGCGACGCCACGGGGAACTTCCGCTGCGCCCAGCGCCTCTCCGCGAGTGGGATGAGGTTGGTGCGGGGGCTGGGTGGTTTTGGGGACACCTGCGAAACCCAAAACTGCAGCACCAAAACGGCTGTAGAATGGCACCTTGGTGGATGGAGGTTTGGATTTTGAGGACTGAAGCGGCAAGAGGGCCAATGGAACCAAAGACTACCTGCGTATCCGTAGGCCAAGCAGTGAATGGTGTTTGGATAGCTTTTGCTTTCTTGTGGGGAAGTTTGTTTTTTGATGACTGAAGTGGCAGGAGGGCAGTAAACATAGTGGCCAATCCAGGACAAATGTGCACCCTCGTTTGCGTGCCGTGAGAAGGCTTTGCGGTATTTGTACTTTTAAGGGCCGCTGTTTCAAAGTCTTTGCAGACACCCGACACAGATTCTTTAACGGGAGCAATTTGTTTTGAGGCGTATAAGGCTCTTCTATGGGGAAGAGAAGGTGTTTGCTTTCAGCGTACACCCTGATATCAAGCTTGCGATGCATTTGGCTGTGTGTGCATGTGACAACTACTCGCCATCAAACAAAGCGCCCCGTCTTTGGCCACGCAGCTCAACTAAGGTGCCAACAGGGGGAGTACCCCACCTACGGGAACTTCGGTGGGAAGAGAGGGACCGGGGTGAACGATGGCTGCCACCAGCAGGCTTGGTGGACAAAGGATTTCCAGCGACTGTTTGTTTTAGTTCTTGTATTTGAGATACTGTCACGATTGGTGGACATTCATAGCCCAAGGTTTGTCCGTTTTGGATGTTGGTGGATATGTATTTCAAATGTTGGTCGATGTTGGTGGACACACAAATGAACCAAGTTGGGCTTCGAGCCGAGGTGGAGAAGCGGAGTATCGGGCGCTATGGCGAGTTGTGGACGTTTCAGGATGGGCCTCCTGAGAACACCCACAGCCGCAGGGAGGACGGATCCCGGAACAGCTACTCAGTTTGCATGTGTCCCTGCCACAGGGGCTGTGCAGAGGCGCCCTGGACGGGCGAGAAGACTTGGATCTTTTTGTCGTGCTACGATGCGGAGGACTGACCTTGGCATCGCACCCTGCTTCGAATTTGCCAGCCGCGTCACAGAGCGATGCGTGACCAGCATGAGCCTGGGCGGACAGCTGCGTTTTTCAGAATGGTTTTGCACGCCGGCATAAAGTGTCGCAGTTTGCCAATGAGGAAGGCTGTTTCACAGATCTGTGGCTCCAGAGCACACGGCATTTGAAAGCCAAAAACAGGGGAGGAAGGGCGTGAAGCAATTTCTTCAGGCCCGTCCCTTTGGTTGCCAATTTAAATTCGACCATGCCTTCTATTGCCCCTTTCGGAGATTGAAAGAACAGTGAGCAGCGCCCACAACCACCATGGCGCTGGTTTCTTTTGTGAATGTCGTCTTCAGGCAAGGCAGACAGGCACTCTTTCGTGCCTCAGCACGCCGCATCCCCCGAAAGGCAGGCAGGTTTGATTGCACCCACCCAGGTCGAAGGGCTGTTTCCCCTCGATCTGCGGGAAACGCCTCGCGCTTTGGCCAGGTAGATCAAAGGGCGGCGCTCTTCGGAAGCCGCTTCCCAGGCGCGGGCACGTGGGGGTTGCGTTTGGGTGGAGCGATTGTTTGAGACCCTCCCTGGAGCCTGTGGCCCAACATGCGATTGCGTATATGAACAGGGAACAAACAGGTGTACTAAAGTAAGACATTTGGTTACTGGGAATACGTGACAATCGTTTAAGGATGGCTGTCCATGGCGTGCGTCCTCTTTGAATCAAGTAGAGTAGGACTTTCTCTTTTGCTGATTGGACAACCTCTTTTTGCCAGGTGAGCTGTGCAATGTTGATGGCAGTTGAGTTCATAGCAACCTGCTAAACAAAGGCGTTTCCTTTGTTATTTGTAGTCAGTCGTCTTGCTGTTTATATTTGGACAACATGACCCAATCCAGATGCGTGTAGATTCTCACCAGCTCGTCATGTCTCATTTTGTGGTTGCTCCATTGTCCAAGACACGCTTGCTTTGGCGTGCTTTGATGTCTCCGTGTTTTCGCTGACTGCAGCCAGATGCTGAGACCAACTCTGTGATAGCAACTCTCTGCTTTCATCTCCACGAATTTTCATTGAACTGTTGCGCCCCACTTTGGAATCGTAGTCCATTGGATTGCAGGCGACTGGCCACGTATTTGGAGGGGACCCTTACACCATGGGTATGACCAACCTCACACAGGGCGCCCGCTGTCTGCGCCACGGGTTCAATATTTGGCCGAGCCTAGGCTGCCCCAAAGCCTTTGGAGTGCGGCGTTCGATCTCAGGCAAGACAGCGGCTGGAAAGCCGAAGGATGACATGTATGCTGCCACCTCCAGGCGCCCCATGGCGAGGAGACGTTGGAGCGAGCAACATAGCAGCTGTCAACGAAACAAAGACTGGCAATAAAAGAAACATGCCCTGAGCGTAAAACTGGGCCGGCATTGCCCGCATGCCACCATCTTTTCCAGACTCTCCTCCAGTTTGCTGCTGATTGTCACCACGAAATACTCGTGGGCAAAGGCAAGCCATCAATGACTTGTGAGTCGATGACATGCAGTTTTCGATGCTATAGCAGTGTGGGAGTCATTGCATTATTTCACTGCAGCCAGTGCAACGTTCTCTTTCTCTCTCTCTCTCTCTCGCTGTCTCGGCCCTTGTGGCGTAACGCTGAGTTTTTTGCTTTCATACTTGCTTGAGCGTATTTTTGGGCAACATCATCATGTTTTGGGTTTGGCTCTCACTTCGAACTTCGTGTGGGTAGCACTCTCACATGCTAAACTCATTTGCAATGAGAATACATTTTTCATCGGGAGCTTTGAGTCATGTTTTGCGTAAGCGTCTCCGGGATGCCCTGCAATGCTGAACCACATGACAAATTGCAGCTCACGCAAGACTCAATAGGCAACCTTTCACACGTTTCAATGCATGCTGCTAAGCGGTGAAGCCTGTATTTCAACCCAACGTTCTGGAGAGATGGCGCTGGCACAGACAAGTTGTGCCATTGTGTTTTGGCGCAAACTGCAGCCGATGGGCCAGCCCGCAATTGCAAGCGGCCAAGTTTGACACCTGCATTTTTTGCCTGGTTCTTTCTGGCAATTCACCATGTCAGGGAGATGATGGAGCGACAGAATGACCAAACCATTGAGGACGTGGTGAGCGTGGTAGGGTGTCCTCCTGGATGGCTTCCGGGTTGTGGTTGTCATCTTCATTTCGGATGTCTTGAATAGGGCGGGCACTTTGCACCCTTGTTTTTGGGCACCGCTAGCTTTAACACGAAATCCTCCTTCTTTTCAAACATGCATCGCGTGCTCTTCGTTAGACGCCGCCAAAGCTTTCTTGTGAACTTGCGCTGTGTCAGTCTGGACTGGTTGCGGATGATGGAACACGTCCCCTTATTGGGGCTTGGTAAGACTCACTAAGGCTTTCGTGCCAAATGGGGGCCCGCTTGGAGGGGATCCTGCATGGTCTCTTGGACACATTGTTCTGCGGGCGCCCCATGGAGGGATCACTTGGGGTGCCAAGTCGAACTCACGCTGGGAGGATCTCGAGGGCAAAGTGGGGCAGCTGAAGGACATCACCAGGAGCTTGAGCCAACGGAATCCAACTAATGTTAACCCGGGATTAATAAACCCCTGGGGGTGTCCCCTTTTAGTGGGGATTCATCACTTTTGGAGGGAACACTCCCCAATAATGGGACGGGTTTATTAATCGTGGGTCAACACTAATGGCCATGCCCAGAAGAAGCCATCGTGGAGGTATCCCCTGTCAGGATGTGTTTGGGCTATGATTGGTCGCTAGAGTCCGGAGCTGGCCCGCGTTGTTTGAATGCCACGGCCGGCTCAAAGCAGCAGGAGCATTGGATCGTCGATCAAGGAGTCAAATGGCTTGCTGGACCAAATGGGTGTGGGGCTCAGACGGGTGAAGGTGGATTTTGGCTGAGGCTGGAGCCACGGCATTGCGCTTCTTCTAGAGTTGCTGGTGGCGCAAACTGCTATTGGTGAAGCGGTTGGTCAAGACCTGCTGCCGCCTTCCTATTGCAAAATCCCTCATTCAATGAGTAGACCCATCTTTGGAAGAACACTCATGCTTTAGCAGCGTTTCGTTGAGACCTCACGTAAATTGACCAAAATCAGCTTGAAGAATCAGCCACGAAGGTGGTTGACCCCTTGGCCCTGCGACTTGGAAAGTCCGAGGCATCGACTTCGATAAAGCCGCCGGACTGCTCAAGGGCACCTTGGGCCATTTGAAGGCGAGGGGGGCTATGCCAGGGGCCGAGGTTTCGCCCTGCTTCCCTGGAATGTACTGGGATACTTGACCAATTATGAGCAGCTTCAGGATCTCCTTGTTCACCTCATGCCAAAGTCATTGTGCATTGTGAGTCGCACATGGTCGTGTCTGGACGGGGAGCCGAAATTCTGCCAGCCACAGAATTCACCCGCCAGGGGATGATGGCCAATAAGAGCAGCAAGCACATGATCTACATGGTGCTCTTTGTTGAGACCTCAGCGCATGGCATGCCTTCGGCTTCCTGCCTTCAGTGGAAAGACATGATGGCCTTTTCTGGCCCTGGGGTTTGGCACTGCAAGAAGCCCGGAAGGAGAATTCGACGATCTCGCAAGTTCGGGTGCACTCCTGCTTTGTCATGTCTGGAGCTATCACCCTTTGCTTCTTCACTGTCACAACGTGAGGATGTGTCGCCCAAACCACCCAACAGCTGGCTGTGTGTATCACCGGGGAGCATGTTACCTCTGAGGTCCTGTGCCTGTTCATGCTGATGTACTTCCTGAGAAAGCTGAGCTGGGTGCCGGGCGCTCAGAGTTGGCCTGCACCTGGGAGCTTGCTCGGGTCCAAAGGCAGTGGGTGAAGGGGGATGCTTTGAGGAGGGCCCGCTTTCCTGATAAAAAGACTTGGGAGACTTCCGGAAAAACGTGAAGAGCGTGAAGGACCTAGGATCGAGCTCGCACTGGCTTTGCCGTAGGCACTGTGTCAATGAAGACACTCGGGCTCCCTCAGTTTCTCGCACTCATCGCGCAAGTGGAGCAAATTCACAATTGCACATGATCGGCACATGGAGCTCCATGATTGCTGAGCAATGGATTGTGTAATTACTGAATAGCACGTTTCGGCACCTGGAGCAAACATACTTTTTCCAAAGCCGTGTTGTGTGCCTTCGCGGGCTTGGGCCGTGGCGACCTTGGCGGACTTTTTTTTCTTCTCCTCCGGCGCAGAGATGCCCTTTGTTCAGATTCGGCACCATACAAGCACGGTGAACTTCTAGGTTTTTCTCTTTTTGATGGCGTGACATTTGTAAAACCTGCAACACCATGCATGTCTTTCACTTGCCGGGCCATTTTTCTGGCCAAGAAATCCTTGTTGCGGCGTGCTTTTGGAGGTCTGGAGGCTCTCCTTCAATCCAGTTGCGCCTGGCTCAGAGTCTGCAATTCGAATCCAAGCTCTTCAAAGGATTGAGCAAGTAGAGGTGCGCCTTCATTTGTGCGCGCTTTTGCAGCAATCATCACCTGTTTAACTCTAAAACCAGAGAATGGATCAAAGAAGTGATCTCCTCGATGGATGGGACCCCTTTGCCGGAAGAGGTACCGAGGGCTTTGCGGATGTCAAGAGCCCAGGAAGGAGACTGCCTCCACCACGCTCGCAGCTGCGAGCCGGCCATGAGGGGGCGATCGGCAGCATGGCACGGCATGGTGTGACCAAAGCCAACCTTCCTGGATCCACTTGTGTCAACTCCTTTGGTTGCACAGCATCCCCGGATTGGTGGAGCGCCATGTTGTTTTTTGGAGCGAGCCGGGCAATTCAGCAAGCAAGGCTTGCGGAGGAGCTCGTTTGCGGTCTCACGCTTTTTGCCATTGTGAAGGAATGCGTGGAGATCGTAAACATCAGAAGTTGTGAAGGTGCGGGCTGAAAAGTACTTTGTGGCAAAGCATTTCTCCACCCTTGTCAAAGACAGGCATGTCGTACAGATCCGTGCCGCAAAAGAAATGCAAACGCCCGCGGCCTTGGGGGGGGGGGGGGGTTAATTTGTGGTTTGCGTGACCGGGCAGCAGGAAATGGATGGATTTGTCACTAGGCAATCCATGGTTAGCGTGCCTGCCATCTCTGCCCCTGTCCGGCGGTCTTGAAGCCTGGGTTGCAGCGGGATTCTTCTCGACTGGCGTCTATCTTGCTTGGCTTACTGTGTGCTGGGCAGCATCACTTTCCGCGCAAACATTTCGGCTTAGGTGCCATTTTGAAAGGTGAGAGGGACTGTGCTGCTGTGCGGTGCTGGTCAATGAGCAAAGAAGTGGGCAGGTCAGTGGTTTTCTGAAGTGAAGGTTCGATAGATCCAAAAGCTCGGGGTTCAACGATTCACCGTCCGCCCCGGTTTCGCCGTTGATTTCTGCGGGGAATTGCCCCCCGACCAACACCGCGGAAACATGGCCGCAGATGACGAGGCAGGAGAAGTCCGCGTCGAAAACGGTGGGAGCCTCTCTTGTTGGTCGCCTCCTTTCGGTTTCTTCGGCGCTGCGATGTTCGAGAGCACTTCAGCTGGCCTTCGCGGCAATGTTGGGTTGAAGTGGCGGCATCAAGAAGGCCCCTCGCGGCTGTGGGTCTTGGATCTCTCATCTTTGTGGTGTGCACGTGCCCTTTAGAATATGTTCTACCTTTGAAGTACGGTTCGAACAAGGGGAAGCCAACAATTCGTAGGGATTTTGGGTTGAACCTGAACAGGCCTCTGGCCAACATGGACACAACCATGAGGCCTGCAGGCATCTCGTACTGACAAGGAGCCGCTTAGCGGACACAGAAGGGGATCCATGACAAGTGGCAAGATGGCCAGCGTTACACTGCGCAACCCCTGTCCCTCTGTCCTTGGCAATGGCTCGATAAAGATGTGCAGCCCGGTTACGTGGATTAATGTTCCAGAAGTAATGTTCAGACATGTTTTGAAGGACCTTTTGTTTGTGCTGGGGAACGAGCAGCTCCGCCCGCAGTTTGCCTGGACTCAGTCCTCCAATGACCGCATGGTGAGCCAGCACCGCCGGCATGTTGATTTGGACAGTGATGGAACCTGCTGTGAAGGACTTTGCCTGTTCTTGAGCCTCATTGAGAGGGATTTTGAGTGCTGAAGGACAGAGGGTGGGCTATAGGACTGAGTTGAAATGACTGCCTGGCACACTAAGACCAGTCCCTGTTTCACGGCGGACACGTCGGGTTCCTTGTTCAAAACCTGAGCGTTGCAGTCACTTGGCTGATGGAGGATGCAACAAGCTGCGGAGCCGAAGCAGCTGGACAACCTGGTGTTTCTTGCTATATTTAGAATGTCGCTAATCTTCATGCATTTGGCGTGCTGCTAGTGAGTATTGATCTGTAAGTTTGGGAAGTATAAGACCAGTCAAGATGTGAGGCTTACTTGTTTGGTCGAGCTTTGGAGCAGTATTCTGAATTGCTGCGGCGGTTTGGGTCCCTCTCTCCACTTGCGATTCATTTGTGAATGTCTTGAACCAATGGCAGCCAGCGTATCCTCCCCTTCTCAAGAAACAAAGCAGGGAACACAAACAAATTAAGCTTTTACCACAGTGTATAACGAACAAACAGTTGGACCGTGGAGTCAACACATACTGGAATTAGAGTCGATATTTTGCTTGCGGATCTTATGCCGGAGTTTTCCCCACACTTAGAACAAGAGACCCAACAGTTGCAGTTCCAACATGGACCCACTTTATACAATTAGAATATGGCATTATCTTGGTACACGCAAGTTATTCCTGTATTGCAGCAATGCTCAACAACGCGCCCGCTGAAACCACAGCCCAAAGAAGCGACGAGCTTTGGCGTCTCCAGTCGGTTTGCCCGCGCCCGCCAGGCTGCAGCGTTCCGGCACGCTGCGCTCTCCTGAGTGCCCGGGAGCCCGAGAAAGGTTGGGGTTGGGGTCGGGTGTTCGGGGAACGGAAAGAAAAGCATTTTCGGAGTGCAAGCCGGATGTCGTGTACTATGCAACAGATGCAACAATACATCGAAGCTGCTTGGAGGACGTGCATTTCGTGGTAGGTGAACTTTGCGTCATTTGCAGCAAGAGCGAGCTGCTTCTCTGGAATCAATACGCGTACTTGGAGAATATATTCTTGGAGCATGAATCATTTTCAGTGTTTCGTTGGGGCCAATTTGTCTCGAGTTCGGCCATGTCCGATTGACTGCAGCCAGTCAATCTGTGAATCTTATTTGCTTTTTCTATTTCTCCTCCTCTGCGAAACCATTATCGTTCCACCAATCATCGACACGCATCCCGGGAGCAACTCTTTCTACTGACTCATTGTGCGCTTTTGGCGTCTCATCATTGCGCTTGTCCTCACATAGCTGACAGCTATAGGCCATAGGGGTTCTAACTTCAAGTACTACAGGAGTGAGTTGGGCAGGGTGTTTTCAGGGACTGTTTCTGCTGGTGGAGAGTTGCTCAGCAACATGCTTTTGAAGAGTACCATGGAATGGTACTGTGGCGAGCGTAAGAAGAGTTGCGCAGGGATTTGCTGCAGTGGGCTGCTGGATTTTACTTTCCGTTGGGAGAATGAAGTTGTCAAGTGCTTGCACAACACTTTCTTCAAGAAGCGAACAGTCTACTCGTTGAAGCTGTCTTGCGGAGGTGTGGAGGCTGGCTGTAACGCAGCTTGCGTGTTCAAGAGAGGTTCAGAGCGCTCGGCCAAGCAACGCCCACGGGAGAAGCACAGGGTCAGAGGCGGTGCCATTGCGCGCTGACTCAGTTGGGCTTTGGTTGGAATGAAAAGGATTTGGCTTGGGCTTGCGAACGGCGTTGACTTTTGGGGTCAGATGGTCCCGCTGCCGCAATATCTTGGAAGCAGGCATGGCCTGACTGTGCGCGTGTCGCTTTGAAGGTTTTTCTCTGGCGAGAACGCTCTGGACGAAGCCAGAGCCCACGTCATAGCGACAGGCCGTCGTGTAAGTGCAGTTTCTTGCTATTTCAAGTTGCTGGCTCTGCCTCGATCAACGGCAGGGCCAACTGTCTAACTGTTTGGTGCCAGCCTATCTCAAGAGCTCAGCAACGCGTTGGTCTTACACTTTCGGGCAGGGAGCTGTTTTAAAAGAGGACTGCGTAACACCTCACCAGCCACCTACCGATGGTCAGATGAGTGTCGCCGAGGCATCGCTGCCTTCCGGGCTGTGGACCGAGCACACTTCTGGGTCCGAGGCCGGGGCAAGTCGACTCACATCTCTGGGTGGAGACAGCGTGGGGGAAGGGGGGGGCCATAGGAAAGATTCCAATGAAAGGGGGGACCAGCGCTTTGGGGGTTTGGGGTGTGGCAAGATTGTCGGGGAGTAGCTCTGCAGGCTTCAGCAGTGAGATCTATGGCGCCCGGGGCTAAGGGCAGAGGTGTGGTTGGGGCGGGGCGCCGCGGCGGCGGCGGCTGCTGCTGCTGCTGCTGCTGCCCCCTTCTTTTGCGGTGGATGCAGCTTGATTGACACATTTATTTACGCGGTTTAGGTTGGAAAGGTGTTGTCTTGTGCACAGGATCTGTTTGAATGAATAGCTGCTCTTTCAATTGGTACTGGTTTACCACGCTCTCTGTGCGACAACAAGAGTGTAGCAGCGGTACCCAATGGGTCATGAGACCCACCTTCAGATTTTTGGCTCTGCATGTTAAGAGCTCATGGGAACTCCCTGTTGTTCAAGTCACAATGAGTGTCTGAACCTGGGCGATACATTCGACCCACTACCAAACAAGGCATGGCCATCAAACTGCTTCCTTGATCATACGTCAATGCACAGTAACTAGTCACAGAGGGGTCTTGGTTGCGCAGGGTGGCGCAGGGCGGGAGACTAGAAAAGACGCGGATACTTTCAATTGGCTGTGGTATTTTGTTGGCGCGCCCCATTCTGCGAGACATCTCTTGATGGCGCGCGCCATGCCTCGCCAAGGACGCCCCGCTGAGACATGGAAAGCTGCACCAGCCGGGGCCGCCAAGGTTGCCTCGGAACCAAACAGAAGCGGGGCGATGACTGGGGACATGCCACACATTTGGACAAACACCATCCCTCTTGCGCGGTGAGCTCAGCGGACAGTAAGGTCAGCGCCCCACATCTATGCTCGGGCGCTGGAGGCGGGGGATGCAGCGGGTTGGGGCTGAGAGCATTGGCTGGGCCAACACTTTGGGTCCAATTGATGCTCGCAATCAATTAGGGTCATTCGCCCATGTCTGGCGCTTTAGGTCTGAGTCAATTATGGTCATTGAAGGGGTTGGCAACAAGGGTGGTGCTGGCCGAGGTGTCAGGAGTTCTTGAAAAAAGGGATGAATGTCATAATTGCCGTGGATGGACAAATACTGCACCAGTTGGGATGGATGAAGCCCTACGAAAAATGCGATGAACCACCGACAGCCAAGATTCGACTGACATGCTACACAAGACAGCACCCCACAAATGCCCGCTCTGAAGGGGTCAGATGAACGGTGTCTCCTTTCAATTGAAGTGGTAGCAACACAGCGGCGTGCCATGCATGCGACCGGGTCCTGTAAACCACCATGAGGGACATTACTTTAATGCGCCCAAACGGCTCCGGCTCCGGCCATTTCTCTAAATGCGATCAGACCCGTGAGCCGTTTGAGGAGGCCTCTGAGCGCATCTCAGGCCTTGATGCCCTTGAGATCTGGCATGTCGCCCGGGGCCACGGGTGAGCAGAAAGGGCAAGAGATCCAAGAGATCGAGC